TAGATTTATACATAAGTATTTCTTTTTCAATCATCAATTTTAATGGTCATGAAAATACTTGAAAGTAATTTTTAAAACTCAATGCACAATATTTACAACCATCACTTTTTAAATACTTTTTAAAATTAGAGGACAGTTGCTTTACAGTATTGTGTTGGTTTCTGCCATACATCAACATGAATCAGCCACAGGTATACATATGTCCCCTCCCTCTTAACCCTCCCTCCCACCTCCCACCCCATCCTACCCCTTTAGGTTGTCACACAGCACCAGATTTGAGCTCCCTGACTCATATAGCAAATTCCCACTGGCTATCTCTTTTCCGTATGCCCTCTCAATTTGTTCTATCCTCTCATTCCCCTACTTTGTCCACAAGTCTGTTCTCTATGTCTGTGTCTCCATTGTTGCCCTGCAAATAGGTTCATTAGTACCATCTTTCTAGATTCCATATATATGTGTGTTAATATACAACATTTGTTTTTCTATTTCTGACTTATATCACTCTGTATAATAGGCTCTAGGTTCATCTACCTCATTAGGACTGACTCAAATGCATTACTTTTTATAGTTGAGTAATATTCCATTGTACATATATACAACAATTTCCTTATCCATTCATCTGTTGATGGACGTATAGGTTGCATCCATGTCCTAGCTATTGTAAAGAGTGCTGCGATGAACATTGGGGTACATGTGTCTTTTTCAGTTATGGTTTCCTCAGGGTTTATGGCCAGAAGTGGGACTGTTGGCTCATATAATAGTTTTACTCCTAGTTTTTAAAGGAATCTCCATATTCTCTGTAGTGGCTGTATCCATTTACATTCCCACCAGTAGTGTGAGAGGACTCTCTTTTCTCCACAATTATCAAATCACTCTTTTGCGGCCAGGCTGCCTGTTTTCCAGTGGCTCATCAAAGGGCTATGATGTATGGGTTGGGAATATTTTTTTTTTAGTGTTTGGAAGCCCCTTAAGAGTTTAAGGTTTGCATTAAAAAAAAAATTTTATTATTGGCTGTGATGGGTCTTCATTGCTGCCTGAGGGCTTTCTCTAGTTGCGGCCAGCAGGGGCCACTCTTCGTTATGGTGCATGGGCTTCCCATTGCAGTGGCTTCTCTTGTTGCTGAGCATGGGTTCTAGGGCACGCAGGTTTCAGTAGTTCCAACACGTGGGCTCAGCAGTTTTGGCTTGTGGGTTCTAGAGTACAGGCTCAGTAGTTGTGGCACATGGGTCTTAGTTGCTCTGTAGCATGTGGGGTCTCCCCAGATCAGGGATCAAACCTGTGTCCCCTGCATTGGCAGGCAGATTCTTAACCACTGAACTGTGAGGAAATCCTGGGAAATTTCTGATAAGGAACTGCAGCTACAACCACTGAGCATGAGGTTTCACTATCTCTCCCACTGCCACTTCTTTATTAAGAATTGGACCTTGCCAGTTCTTCTGTGCTGTTGGCCAGTTTCTCACTCCTCAGGCTGATTCATCTTTCCTTCACTCAAATGTCTCTGGTTGTCTGTAGGGATGGGTTCAGACTTGTAAATTTTTGTAGGGGAGTTTAGTCTGTTTTTTATTGGTCAGACCTAGAAATTTTGTCTGTTCTACAGATTAAGGACTTTAGGTGGATGTCTAGTGATCAGCAAATCCCTGCGGGTCATATGACTCTGAAGTGATTTTGGTCCCACTACTCATGAGGGTCCCCATGCCCTCTCGGGCACTGAAAGTTAAGTATCACTATTTGTTCTCTGCTAATCCAGGTTCCCATTATCTCTATTTAAATCAGGGAGCTCCTTTCAGCTGCAGGGTTTTTCATAGCACCTCTGGTCACAGAGAACAGCCACTGTGGTACTTTTCAAAGATGGTGGTGCTTCCTTCACCAACAATTCTCCAGAAACCGTGGTGGAGGCCCCCTCAGGTTCATCATTACGAGAGATGAGCTGTCTATATATGAACATTTACTTCAGTGTTTCCTTCTCTTTGATTCGTTGGACTTTTTCCTTTACAAATATCAGGGAATTTCCTTCTCATTTTCATTTAGCTGAGACCAGAAGTCAATCAATTTATATAGAAGGTACATTGAAATCAGAGTCACTGGAAAGTGCACTCAAATCAACAGATTTAAGTTTATTTATATACATACTTTTCCCTTTAAATTAGCAAGACCTTGCAATTCTTTCTCTCCTTGGGGTTGACTTTGTAATTGGCTTTCTGTGGGTGTCTGGATCTGACTCCAGTATTAAGAGTTAATATTAAGTATTAACAGTATCCAGAGTTGGTGGATGAAGTGTGGCAAGGAGATTGACTGCCCTTTCCAAGGTAACTGCCTCAGGTGAGATCAGAATAGGGTCTTCAAACAAGGCAGGAACAGCCTAATTAATATAAGGGAAGAGGCTTTGGTTCTGCTATCAAGAGGGGCTTGCAGACTTAATTTCCTAGGAATTATCCAAATCCTCCTTTATGGTTTCATTTCTACACCCAGATTTCCACTCTTTCCTGATGGTAATTATCTCTCCTACATGAAATCTGGTGAGGCTGGTAACTCAATTGACTTTGTCATTTGGCAACTTGTAGAAAAGATTTTGAGTCTGCTTTTTAGTGATTCAACTGATAAAGAATACTTTTAGCCCTGTCATTGAAAGCATACAGGTTGTTAAAGGTTGTGAACTGAGAAGTTAGGACTCTGAGTGTGTCATTGTTTTTCTTAAGTGGTCCAGTTTTAAGCTTATCCTTGAGTCCATTCTTTGAATACATCTTGTTCTTCATGGTCACTCAGTTTCTAAAAGCCTTCTCTTCAGAGAAGAGAAGGTCACTCCAGGTGACCATATGTGGTAATTTCCCCAGCTGTTTTCCATGTATTCCAAGAGCTTCCTAATTGTACATTAAAGTTGTTGAATCTCAGCCTTCCAAACCAGGCCAGATAGCCAATCTCAGATTCTCCTCATTTCTTCAAAGACTGTTGCTTGCAATTCCGTTTTGGGTGACCCTGGTTCTGTCCTTTTTCCTCCTGTCTTTCTCTTCTGCTTCCTTTAAATTTGAGGAATTTCAAATTTTAGGGTATTGAGTTTTAGGGTATTGAGCATGACCCTTTCAGAGATTAAAGGTTACTACAATAATGAGGGACAAGTATATAGCTTTGAAAGAAAAGTTTAGGTTGTCTGGTATGGTGAATTTTCCTTGATCTCTAGACTGTCTTAGAACTTCTCTTTGGTTGGGAGAGACGATTCAACCCCACGTGTACTTTTCATATGGGATTGGAACACTCTCAACACTTCCATCTCATATGCACGTGGAGCTTTACAGAGTACAGACGTGTCTCACCTTGCTTCATCCCAGTTTCTCAGCCACCTGTGAGATGTGCTCACCTTTGAAGTTGAGAAAAGAAATAGAGTCTTTCCCAGGATTCCCAGTGTTGGCCAGTAGCTGGGCCAAGACTGCAATCCCAGACTCTCCACACTGACCTTCCCTTCAGATCCTGCCCTAACATTCTTCTGCCCAGGAAAGACTACACATGGAGGTCCACATATTACTATCTAAATGGTAACAAGCAATAATCAAGCTATCAACTGTTAAATAAAATATACTCTACTCTCCTATCTTAACAGTTTGGAGTTGCCAGAAGCAAATGCTGAGACTGAATTTGGCCTGTTGGTTATTTATTTGTTGTTCAGTTGTTCAGTCATGTCCGATTTTTTGTGACCCCATGGACAGCAGCATGCCAGACTTATTAATACTATCTCCCAGAGTTTACTCAGACTCATGTCCATTGATTCGATGATGCCATCCAACCATCTCATCCTCTGTCGTCCCCTTCTCCTTCTGCCCTCAATCTTTCCCAGCATCAGGGTCTTTTCCAGTGAGTCAGCTCTTCACATCAGGGTATTTATACTACCCATCAACACAGGGAGGAAGCAGGAGGGGGTAGAAGGAGGAATCTGACTGCAGTGCACACCTCAGCAAGCCTCAGCCAACCCCAAGGGGGTGTCTGAGAGTATATATGGTCCATCAGAGTGTATCAAGTTTAGGTGAAATGACTGGACCATCCCTCCCTACCCAAAGACAGGGCATATCTTTGGATGGGGGCCTCTGAAGCAGGAACTGACAGTTGGGCAATGAGTCCTTCCTGTAACAAATACCCCTTAATAATGACTTGTTGAGCTCAGAAAAGGGCAGCAGGGAGAGAATCCCCCTCTTTTCCCACTCTGGACGGCTTGGACTCCACTCCAGTCTCAGTCCACCTGCCTCCACAGCTGCCCCTTGGGCCTATGGGCACATCACACAGGGGCTTGAGCCAGCCTAGGAAAGACAGAGGGGCAGGAGACTCTCATCCCCAACATCCCGGAGGTGGAATCTCAGGGTCCCAAGTGCAGAGACTGGCCTAAAGCTGGACGGGTCACACCTCCATTCTTAGGCAATAGAATCCATTCCTAGGGAGAAGAAGGAAATCTCTAAGGGGGAAGGGGCAGAATAAAGACCTTCTCCCTGAGGTCTAAAGTACTGCTGTGTGCCATGCTGTGCTCAGTGGTATCCAACTCTGCCACCCCACGGACTGTAGCTGCCAGGAGCCTCTGATCGTGGAATTCTCCAGGCAGGAATACTGGAGTGGGTTACCATGCCCTCCTCCAGGTGATCTTCCCAACCCAGGGATCGAACCCCAGGTCTCCACAGTGCAGGTGGATTACCATCTGTGCCACCAGGGAAGTCCAAGAATACGGGGGCGGGTAGCCTATGCCTCCTCCAGGGGATCGTCTCAACCCAGGAATCGAACCAGGGTCTCCTGCATTGCAGGCGGATTTCTCTATCAGCTGTGCCACCGGGGAAGCCCAAAATGCTGCTACCAAAGATCTTACTGAGGTGTTGGGAGACATAAACGAGAAACTGATTAAGGAAGGTTCTGACTTTCTCAGAGGAGACTGACTCTCAGTTAATATTAAACAAAGGCTTACGAAAATCCTCACGAGTACCAGCGACTGTGACTACTAGCCTTATTGTTGTTGTACCGAGGCAAGGGCCTCATGCTACTCTCGGGGTTCGTGAGGTCCAATAATCCTCTCCCACGGCGGAATCCTCCCTGCGGGTGTAGGTCTGGATCGCCCTCCACGCCCCCTTGCCTGTCGGCAAGTCGCCGGGGCCAAGCAGAGCAGGGCGCTTTCGGGCGCGTGGGGGAGCCGGGGCAGGGACGAGCTCGCTCAGGAGCCAGAGTGATCGCGGCCGGAGAGGGAGGAGGCTGCCGGGCCCAGCCTGACGCAGAGGCGGCAGCGGCAGCGGAGCAGGCCACTGCCGGGGCGTCCCGGCCACCGGCGCCAGCCCGCTCTCCGCCTTCTCCTGCCGCGGCTCCTCACGCGTGGGAGTGAGTGCTTCGCGCGCCCGCCGGGGGTCACGGGCTCCGGGCATCTTCGGCCAGCGAGCCCGAGCGGAGGGAGGTGCAGGAGCGCTCGCAAGGGGCGGAGGCGGGGAAAGGAGCGGGCGAGGCGGAGGCGAGGGAGCGGAGGGAGGGGACCGTGGAGAGGGAGGGACCCGCCTGCCGCGCCCTGGCCGCTCGGCATGTGTGGCTGCAGGCGCCGGTTGTCGCTGCTGTCCGGGGGCTGAGCCGCGCCCGGGTGTCCAGGGCAGTGTGTGTGTGTCCGCGCGGGCGAGCGCCGCGCCGGCCCCGAGCCTCCCGCTCGCTTCCCCGGGCCGCGGTGCATGTTCGCCTCCTGCCACTGTGTGCCGAGAGGCAGGAGGACCATGAAAATGATCCACTTTCGGAGCTCCAGCATCAAATCGCTCAGCCAGGAGATGAAATGCACCATCCGGCTGCTGGACGACTCGGAGATCTCCTGCCACATCCAGGTGCCGGGGCGAGGGAGCGGACCAGGCGTCGGGCGTGGGACTGGGGGGCCTCTACGGGTGGGCGTGCGCGCGGACGCAAGGAACCCACCCGGGGGCCTACTAGAAAGCCAGATTTCTGTTCCTCCGCTCTGAGTCTGGGAGCCCTACTAAGGGATGGGGGCGGGGGGACTGTCCCCCACAGGCACCGGGCGTGCGTTATCAATTCCCGGGGCCCCTTCCTCTGGCTTACACACTGCGCTCACGTCCTGCTGCACCTAGGAGAGTGGACACAGGGCAGCTGCCTCCTGGGGAACTCTAACCCCTCTGTTTCCTAACCTGTCGGGAAATATGAGTTCTGAGAACCCAGAGGGGCACCTGCATGTCGCCCAGTCTTCCTTCTTCCACGTGGAGGAGGCATGCATCAGCATGGATCCACTCATTCTTTCTCTGGCGCCTGGGCTCCGAAGGTGCCTTCAACCCCGGGGATCTGCTCCAGCTCCCTGCCTCCCCTCTACCCGTGGCCTTGACTTCTTAGCGTGGGGCAGCGGCGAAGTTTCCCGGGAGCGAGAGAGGCCAGGCAGCCCCGGGCTCCAAGCCTTAGGGGATGGGGCACGCTGCGCGGACTGGAGCTACCTCGAAAGGAATCCTTTGAAATCTGAGTGTTTCAGGGAAAAGGGCTCTGAGGCCAGCAGGGAGGGAATGCTGCAGGACCTGGGTCCCGGGAGAAATCGCCCTTTGGGATATTGGTGACATGTGCTCTGGACCAAGTTGGAGAAGGCCAGAGTTGTGTAGGCGAAGGCAGCTTTGATGGCAGCTCCATCCTCCAGTACTTAAGTGCCTCTGGGCTTGCAGATCTGTGAGATGCAATGGGGTGTGTGTGTGTGTGAGCGCACTCTCAGTGTTTGTATATGTAGGCACGTGTGTGCCCTCTCCCAAGACTCAGGGCACACAACCTGGAAAGGTCATGTTAGGGTTCAGCACTATTAGCTTTTGACTTTTAAGTCTCTTTACTTATTTATCTCTGGAATTTCCTCTTCTCACCTACTCAAGTCTTGAAGGTCTGAGACTGAGTGAGCTGTTTTAAAACACTGGGCACCCATTCTGTTGAGAGATGAATGGAAGCAGCGTCTCCCAGTGGCAGGAATCTGCCTCTGGGCTGTGTTAACTAAGAACGAATTAATGAATGGTCTCCCCCACCCTCCCGCCCCCAGCGCCTTTTTTCTTTTCTTTTTGTGGGAGCTAGTGACACGGGGACAGTGACTCCTAAACTTGTAAGATGACAACTGGGTAAATTTCACGGCAGGAATGTAGTGCCCCATAGCCTCCCATTAAAGTGGGCTCCCACTGACTTTTCTTTAGAACCTTGGATTTCATTTTGAACTAAGCACTGCTGCTAAACTTAATAATAAAAGGATTAGCGGGATAGGCAGTTTTTCTGCTGCCACAGTGTTACATGGAAACATTTGGCATGTATTGTCTTGTGTTTCAGAGAGATGAGTTTGTGTATTTTACCTTGAGTCCTAAAGTGGGTGTACGGGAACTTTAACCCATATTGAATATGTAGGTAATAAAGGGGTCAGCCACAGAGAGTGGGGCTGTTGACTTTTCCAGAGCTGTCTCCACCCTCTATCTGCCCTGTCCTGTCTCACTTGGAGTTGACACCACTGTTTTTTTTTTTTTTTTTTTCTGTTTATGGGAGGGAATCTTCCTTAGAATGGATAAATAGTCCCCAGAGGACATGTATGTGCTGTCTGGTGATCTGGCAAACGGTAGATTGTAGTCAAATAACAGTTTGGAACATTAGAGTCTGTATGGCCCAACTGATGCCAAAGAGGTTAAAATGCTATGTTCCAAAGTGTTGATTTTGGCATTGCTTGAGAAAATCAAATGTTTTACTTGGAAGCACATCTGCCCCCAAATGGTGATTATCATTTAATCAATTAAAATGAATCAAAAGATGATTTTGGACATTATACCTGCCTAAAGTATTTCAAACCTGGGAATTGATATTACATTTCTGAGCATAAGGTCACAAAAACCTTTCCATTTGTTTAGGACAAAGACAAAGTGATTAAAAAAAAAAAAGAACCTTTGAAGTCACTAGTATATGCCCTGGGGAATCCATCTGTCTTTTGTTTCTTGCTTGCCTTTTCCCTCCAGTCTAGAGAATCACAAAGTTAAGAGAGTGTATAGGGTGTTACACAAATTTTCCCTCTATAACTCATGCAAGGTGTGAATTATGTTTTTTTTTTTTTTCAAAACAATAGGTTTTAAATATTCTTTTCCAAAGTATATGATTTGTGTTGCTGACAAAGAAAGCTTGACAAAGAAAACTTTCAGTGTAATGGCTCAGCATCAGCAGCCTGACAGCCACTTGCTCTGTCTCTTCATAGGATCTAGGATGCTGTTCCATTGTGTCGATTGCATGTGACTGTTTAGTTGAAGTGAAAGAGGATTCCAACTGGATAGGGAGCAAAAGGAGAGTCTAGGGCACTAGGCAGGGGCCTGGGGAAGGAAAGGAGTTGCTGAATGTTCCCCATTGTTGTTGTTCAGTAGCAAAGTCATGTCTAACCCTTTGCAACCCCATGGACTGCAGCAGGCCAGGCTTCCCTGTCCTTTGCTATCTCCCGGAGTTTGCTCAAACTCATGTCCATTGACTCGGTGATGCCATCCAACCATCTCATTCCCTGTCACCCCCTTCTCCTCCTGCCCTCAATCTTTCCCAGCATCAGGGTTTTTTCCAATGAGTTGGTTCTACTGGTCTTTTCCAACAGAGCCAATCCTGCAAGTCTGGAGACTGTGGAAGGACATGGCTTAGTTCTCACTTCTTTCATTCAGTCATGCTCTTTCAACTACAGTAGAGTTCTAGTCGTCTTCCCCATTCCATCCACATTTTCAGATGCTGGCAGAGTGTTCACCAGTCCTTCTAATGAGCTTGTCACTTTTAATACTGATTTTTATTGTGTAAGTTGTAGACTTTTCATATTATTTATTCTTTATCAAGTCCTGGTAAACATGATTGTTATTATTGGAATTGGCTGGAAAATTATAAAAATTTGTATTTGAATAGAAACTCTGGCACTGTGTGTAGCACCTCAGTCAGTCAGTCAGTTCAGCCGCTCAGTTGTGTCCGACTCTTTGTGACCCCATGAATCGCAGCACGCCAGGCCTCCCTGTCCATCACCAACTCCCGGAGTTTACTCAGACTCATGCCCATCGAGTCGGTGATGCCATCCAGCCATCTCATCCTCTGTAGTCCCCTTCTCCTCCTGCTCCCAATCCCTCCCAGCATCAGGGTCTTTCCCAGTGAGTCAACTCTTTGCATGAGGAGGCCAAAGTACTGAAGTTTCAGCTTCGGCATCAGTCCTTCCAGTGAACACCCAGGACTGGTCTCCTGCTGCCGCTAAGTCACTTTAGTCGTGTCCGACTCTTGGCGACCCCACGGACTGCAGCCTACCAGGCTCCTCCATCCATGGGATTTTCCAGGCAAGAGTACTGGAGTGGGTTGCCATTGCCTTCTCCAGATCTTCTAGTAGGTGCTTAGTAATTATTTGTAGATGTAGATTGCATAATTTCTGTTTGGGCTGTTAAATTCATGAGGGTAGGAACTCTTGTTATGGTTGTTGTTCTTCAAGGAGTCTCAGTACCTAGAGACAAACCTGACATATAGTTGTGGTCAATAAACACTTGCTGAATGAATGAATGCTACTGACCCAGTATTTAATGTAGCTCATTACCTGTCATCATGAGGATTGCATGACTTCATTGGGTTGAGAATAAGGAGATACATAGTTTAGTTATGTTACCAACCAGTGTGGCATGTAGTGAGTCATTTGACATTTGGAATCAGTTTCTTCTTTCGTAAAATAAGGGATTTGGGTTAGAATGGATGTCTCCAGTTTATAAAGTCTATAGTTTATCTGTTACCTAGACCAATAACCTTTGAGTAAAACATTGCTATTGACAGATAGATTATATACATATTATCTCATGTGATGTTCAATCCTGTCCTGTGTTATCTCCATTTTGTTGTATTATTGAATATTTCCTCAATTTTATGGGTATAGAAAATGAGGTGCAGAGAGATTAGGCAACTTGAGTCACCTGGTAAGTAAGTAGACTGAAGCCATGTCATTTGACTTAGAATCCAGAGCCCTGTCTTCTCTGCAGCTGCCTCCTGAGACTTGAGAGTTAGGATGTTTAGGCTGCAAGTAAAAGAGCAGCTGAGTTAAAGTGGCTTGAGTAATAAGGACACTTATCATCTTACCTAATGAGAAGTCCCGAGGCAGGGCAGCTTCAGAGTTGTTCAGCAGTTCTGCATGGACCAGGCGCTTTCCATCTTTCTACTCTGCCTCCTTAGCACGTCTCCTTTGTCACTTAGAGCTCTCATTATAAGGTGGTTGTGAATGTCCTTCAGGTACTAACACATCCACCATGTAAGAGGTGGGATTGCCTCTTGCATTTCTTTTTATCGTAGAGGAACACCATTCCTTTAGGTTCCCATCAGTCCTCCCATTAGATCCCATTGTCCAGGATTGAATCCTATACCCATGACTTAGCTGTAAAAGAGTCTAGAAATGTGA